TTTAAGCATTACCACACTGGGTTTGAGATCTCAGATACGTATTGAGATCTCATATATGAAGGGATAAATGTCCAGAGTTCTTGGGCATGAGGACAGCTCATCCGTAGGGGCTCCATAACATATTTTAAGGGGCTTGGAAAGGCAAGAAAATCGGAATTGGGTTCCATTTCAAAGACGTGTGTTCTTAGGTCTTTAATGGAACTTCTTTAGGGGATTTGGACAAGCATTGGTCAATTTTGGTTAAAGTAAGGTTCCTGCATCGATAAGGGAGAGAGACTTGATGGGCTAATAGGTCCCTTCCAACGTCATTATTCTGTGTACTGGGATACACACAGACATGGCCTCACAAATCTCTCCTTCTCCCTCTCTCTCTTCAGAATTCAAATTACACTTTTTTTCATGTTTGTCACCTGGTCCATGTTGCCGTTCATGACCAGGGAGATTATTTCTTTCCTGGTCACCCACACCTGAAAAAGAAATTGGCAGTCTCAGATGGAAGCACCCTGCAATTGTCATCGTGAACTCGTGGAAATGAGCCTATTTCTCTTAACCTCCCTCTTTTCCTCTTGCATGTCCTCATAGACAGTTCCTCATGCCACCTGTGTGGAGAGCTGCCAGCCCGGTTACAACAAGATTGTCCAGCAGGGGAAGCCAGTCTGTTGTTACCAATGTGCTCGGTGCCCAGAAGGCAGAATTTCCATCCATGCTGGTAATTGGAAAAAGGGGCAGCTTCAATGAGGACAGAGTGAGATGCGGTCCCTGCTTTTTAATATTGGTCACATGCCAACCCTTTTTCACTAAGATGGTTGCAAGGAGGGATGTCCAGAGATCTATGGCTTACTCAGTGCCCCAGTAAAGGAGCCCAGGCAGGGATCATTCTGGATGACATGCCAAGTCAGTCCCTCTCTGGATCTGTGTATTTCTGTTTTGGTGGGGTTTTTCTTAAAGGGAATGTAAGTGGCTTTGGACTGGGATTCAAGAAGGCTACACAGCACTCTGAATTTTTAGGGGTGCGGAAGCTGGGAGGGTTCATTTATCTCTAGTAAAACCAATTCTCTTTGGAGGTGGTGAGCATCAGAATGCTGGAAGCATTTGGGGGGGGGGAACTAGACAACCAACCTAGAGGCTCTTCAGAAAGAGTCCCCGGACTGCAAAAAGAACAAACCTACCTATTTTGCAAGAAATCAAGCCTGAGTGCTCACTGGAAGGACAGATCCTGAAGCTGAGGCTTTAATACTTTGGCTATCTCGCGAGAATAGAAGACTCCCTGGAAAAGACCCAGATGTTAGGAAAGTGTGAAGGAAAGAGAAGGAGGCGGCAGAGTATGAGATGGTCGGACAGTGTCATAGAAGTGACCAACATGAATCCGACCCATCTCCGGGAGGCAGTGGAAGACAGGAGGGTCTGGCGTGCTCTGGTCCATGGGGTCATGAAGAGTCGGACACAACTTAACGACTAAACAATACAACCAACAATCACATATACTTTGGTTTGGATCCCTGCATTGAGCAGGGGTTTGCACTCATTGGCCTTCTAGGTCTCTTCCAACTCAATTCTTCTAGGATTCTGTGCCCTTCTCCTACCTGGCCTGCGTTGTTTCCCAGAGGGTTGGTAACTGGGAAAGCTTCCTGTGAGCCTATTCTCCCAACACCTCTGAGCTCCTTGGTGCTTCAGGAAGAACAAAGCAAGCAGGTGGAGAAGGAAGGGAATAAAGTATATGTCAGAAAGCAAATCCGAAAGAAAGAAACCTTCCATTTCACCCTTTGAAGAGAACCTTTGTTTCAAAGTGTCTTTTGTTTCTAAGCATTGGAAATGAATTTGTCTTCCTTCGTGAGAGGAAACATTTTTGAATAGTTGTGGTTTTCTTTCTGGATTTTAGATGCAGATCGATGTGAGAAGTGCTACGAAGATCGGTATCCAAGCCAGGGCCAGGATCATTGCCTCCTGAAAAGTGTGGCTTACTTGTCCTACAGAGAACCTTTGGGAGCAACTTTGGGGTGTTGTGCCTTTTCGTTATCTGGACTGACCGTTCTGGTGATGGGGGTCTTCCTTCACTCCCGGCACACTCCCCTTGTCAAGGCCAACAACTGGAAGCTCACCTGTGTCCTGCTCTCCTCTCTCTTCCTGGGCTTCCTCTGCCCCTTCCTCTTCATCGGATGGCCTGGGAAGATCTCCTGCTTCCTGAGGCAAGCCGTCTTTGGCATCATCTTCACTGTGGCTGTTTCTTGTGTTTTGGCTAAAACCGTCACGGTGGTTCTGGCCTTCATGGCCACCAAACCTGGAAGCACGGCCAGGATGTGGGTGGGAAACAGGTTGGGAGTGTCCCTGGTGGTTCTCAGTTCACTTATTCAAACTGGCATCTGCATCGTGTGGCTGGCGACCTCACCCCCTTTCCCAGATTTTGACAGGAACTCTCAAGTGGACCAGATCATCGTGCAGTGCAATGAAGGCTCAGACAGGATGTTCTACCTTGTCTTAGGTTACATGGTCCTTCTGGCCATCACCAGCTTCATGGTGGCTTTCTTTGCCAGAAGATTGCCCGATAGTTTCAATGAAGCCAAGCTGCTCACCTTCAGCATGTTGGTGTTTTGCAGTGTGTGGGTCTCCTTTGTGCCCACCTACTTGAGCACCAAAGGGAAATACATGGTGGCCGTGGAGATCTTCTCCATCTTGGCTTCTAATCTGGGCTTACTGGGCTGTATCTTCTTCCCAAAATGCTATATTATAATCTTGAGACCAGAACTCAACACTAGAGAACAATTAGTAAGAAAAAAGTAAGGCCGACAGTGGTTTATTTGGGTTCTTTATTTCCTTGACTTGTTTCTTTTTCATACATTCCTACAGCATTTATTAAAGAAAGGATAGAAAGGTTGAGACTGCGTAGGAGTTGGGAATGTCCTTCCCCCTCCACTATGTCAGCCACAGACAACTCTTTTGCAGTGTGGCTGTCCAGCTAGAATCTCATCCTTCCTTTCTTCTTTAAAAAGGATGCAAGGCCACGGACATCCTGGGAGTCAATCCTTTTGGGGCTTGATAGGATAAAAGCAGGACTTTGAATTGTGCTGGGAAGCAGATGAACAACCAGCAGAGCTGTTGGCAGAGGTGATTATGTGGCCTTGTAACCAAGGCCCAGTTATCTATTTGGCTGCCGTGTTTCTGAACACTTTTCACAGGCAGGCCCACCTGGTAAGAAGGGAGCAAGTGCCAAAGAAAAAGTAGCGCTTTGTAAGGAATCTTCAACAATCCTTAGAGATCAGCCACTCTGCGCATGAGAAACTAACTGCTTTGCTGAGATGCGAGAAATTGCAACCCATGCACATGGTCCTCAAGGACCAATGAACGGCTGCATACATTTGTTTCTATTTTAGAACTGTATAAAAACTTGTACCCTGTTGATCTCGGGGTCCCCACCCTGCTGGGCACCTGAGTGTGCACTTATTTTATCTGAATAAACTTGTTGCCCTTCCCACCAAGAAACTGTCCGCTTATCATTATTGCTTGGGCCTTAGCTTCATAGAAATAGTTGAGACACCATGGAGTGAGTTGGAGGAACTGAGCCAGGAGATCATTAAAAAGGCAAGTGTTTCTGTGCCAAAGTCAAAGTCCTGGTTCTGACCTCCAAAGGCCTAAATGGTTTGGATCCAGGGACAGCATCGTGACTGTGCAGGGTGGAGAGGAGGAGGCAGGAAGTCTAATCACAGGCTAGTCCTGAGCTCCAGATACAAAAAAATGTGTGATGCCTCAGGGACAGGGCAGAATAAAATTGGGAGCCACCCCAGGTTTCATCCTGTCTCTGGACCAAGAAACAGACTTTATCCTCCATTGGGTCCCACTTCTCCTGAGTTGAGTCTCCATCCTTCAGACCAGGCAACTCAAATGGGACCTGATTTTTTATGCCAGGAACTCCAATCCCCCCCTTTTTTGGGTCCCGAAAGATCAAATAAAAGTTCTACAGCATGGAGGATACGGTATCGTTTTTATATATGTTGCGACCTTACACAGATGCCATCGCTCATGAGCACTATAAACAACTATTTACTGATTGAGCTTCACTTCCAGTTTCCTTGCTCTGTAGAATTTCCTATATTTATTTATTTATTTACTCATTTATTCATTCATTTATTCTATTTATACCCCACCTATCTGGCCTTGTGACCAATCTAGGCGGCTTACAAACACATAAAACAACAAGTAAATATAACAAAAGGAAATTATTACTTCAAATGACCAGTTCTTCAAGATGGAGAAGAGAAAATGAAAAATAAAAAAAAGAAAAGAGAAAGGAATCAGATAGTAACTGGAGGGAAGGCTTGCCTGAACATCCACTTTTAAAACTGATTTTTAAAAATACCCAGCGAAGGGGCCGCATGAATCCCTGGAGGCAGTTTGTTTCAGAGGCAAGGAGCTACCACCGAGAAGGCCTGGTTTCTTGTTTTTTCCTTCCGGGCCTCCCTCGGTGTCAAGCTCCTCAGCCTCACCTCCTGACTCGCTCGAGTGATACGGGTAGATCTTGGTGGGAGTAGGTGTTACCCAAGGTATTGAGGCCCTAAACCATTTAGGGCTTTATACGTAAGCATTAGGACTTTGAAATCAATGCAGAACCGAATGGGCAGCCAGTGCAATGCGGCCAGAATAGGAGAAATATGATGGTATTTTCTTGCTCCACTAAGGAGTCTGGCCGCTGCATTCTGCACCACTTGGAGTTTCTGCATCAATCTCAAAGGTAGCCCCACGTAGAGTGCATTAGAGTGGTTTAAACTTGAGTTTACAAGCGCATGCACCAAGGTAATGAGTGCCCCCACATCGAGATAGGGTTGCAGCCGAGCTATCCGCCAAAGATCGAAAAAGGTGGTACGGACCACCGACGTCACCTGAGTCTCCATGGTGAGTGCCGGGTCCAGAGGGATCCCCAAGCTGCGGACCCCACTCTTTGTGGCAACGGTCACCCCCCAAAGGATAGAGAATCACTCAAACCACCAACAGTGGGGGCACCCACTGTCAGGACCTCCATCTTGTCTGGGTTTGGCCTCAGCCCATTTTCCTGCATCCATTGCAACACAGTCCCCAGGCAGCGTTGAAGGGTTAGAACGGCATCAACTGCAGTTGGTGAAAAGGAGATGTAGAGCTAGGTGTCATCAGCATATTGATGACACGATGCCCCACATCTCCTGATGACCCCACCCACTGGCCTCATATAGATATTAAACAGCATTGGGGAGATAATTGAGCCCTGCGGAACCCCACAATTGAGGGTCCACGGGGCCGATAAACTCTCTCCAAGCTGTACTCTCTGAGGATGGTCCCCGAGGAAGGATCGGAGCCATCCAAGCTCAAGGCCACCAATTCCCAACCCAGAGAGTCTCCTCAGGAGGATACCATGGCCGACCGTATTGATGGCCGCCTAGATGTCGAGAATGAGCAACAGAGATATTTTACCCCTGTCAGCCTCAACAGGTCATTGTGCAGGGCGACCAATGCCGTTTCTGTACCGCAGCGTGGCCTGAAGCCCAACTGGAACAGATCCAGGGCATGTGTTGCATCCAAAAGAGCCTGAAGCTGATCAGCCACCACCCTCTCCACCACTTTGCTGATGAAAGAAACTTTGGCGACGGGCCTATAATTTCGTCTGATGCCAAATTAGGTTTCTTCCTTATGGGCCTAACGAGTGTCTCCTTGAGGGCAGGAGGAACCCTGCCCTCAAGGAAAGACCCATTAATTATTGCTGTGGCCCATTCGGTTGTTATCGGCCTGGCTGCTTTGATTAGCCAGGCCGAGCAAGGGTCAAGGGAGGAGAATCTGGCATCACACACTGAAAGCGATCAAGGATTACTGGGCAAGACAGAGTGCTGGACATCTCTGCTCAACTCATTGTATTTAAAAAAGGAGAGAGCTCCCAGCAGATGGCCTCCACTTTAGATTTTAAAAATGCTGCAAATTGGTCTGGTGAAAGACTAGGGGGAGGCCCATCTCTCAGAGCATAGGTAATGCACTATACAGAATAACTCTGCCTGCTGGTTGGACGCTTCGCTTATCTGGTTAGCGAAGTAAGTTCGACAAGCAGCCTTTACCTTAGACAGGTAAAGGCTAGTTGCAACCCTAACAGCTATCCAATTATAATCTGGGTTCTTCCTCCACCTACGCTTTAGCTTTCTCTTAAATCGCTTTATCGCTCGAAGGTCCTGGTTAAACTAGGGTGCTGGCCGAGCTCTACGCAGGGGAGGGTGTTTAGGCATGATTGTGTCTATAGCCCTAGTGGCAGCGGTAGACCAGCTGTCAACCAGGGCCTGGACAGAAGTGCCAGCCAGTTCAGCTGTAACACCTCTCGTGGCATCCTGGAATCCAAAAGGATCCAGTAGCCTTCGAGGGTGGACCATAGCAATAGGTCCCTGCTCCCTGCGAGGGAGGAGGGCCATTACGAGGTTACAATTTATTAGGTTGTGATCTGACCATGACAAGGGGACCAACACAAGGTCAGTCACCATCAGACCACGATCACTCCAGTTGGTGGAAAAATCCAGGTCCAGTGTATGACCTCCCACATGGGTGGGGCCGTTGACATGTTGGGACATGTTCAAAGAAACCATGGTTTCCAAGAACTCAAGAGCTGGCCCGGATATCTCTGCCTCTGCGTGCACATTGAAATCACCCAAAACTAAAAGCTTTGGGGATCCCAAGAATGCCGCAGAGACAAAGCCCACCAGCTCTGGTAGGGATGTTGCTGGGTCACAGGGAGCATGGTAGCCCAGCAAAATTCCAATACCATCCCTGGCCCCAATCGACACGTGGAGGGCCTCCAGACCCGGTCTTACCACCGCGGAGCACCTAGTAACCTTCAGAGTGTTTTTATGTATAATGGCTACTCCTCCCCTATCCCCTCCAGTCTACCCTGGTGATGGGCAGCATAACTGAGTGGACAGGAAAGCACTGGAGGGGCCCCTCTCTCCCAATCCACATTTCAGTTATGCATGCCAGGTCTGCATCCTCCTCCAGGATGAGATCGTAAATCATCTGGGACTTATTGGATACAGACCTGGCATTCAACAGCACCAGTTTTAGAGTGGAAGGTTGGCTGGTCTGGCTACCTTGATGCTGACGGTTCATCACAGTCCCAGAACAACGAACAGCCTTCCAGCATCTATAGCATGAGACAACATATAAGCCTGGACTTTGTCTGAATTCAGTAAATATTATTGGATCTTATGCTCAACACGATTAGTCACTCTGTTTATTGAGCTTGGTTGGTTGCCCGAGACCCCCTTTGTCAAAACCCCCAGTTTCTTCTCATTTTTTTTTTACTTTTTATAAAAAGCAAAGTGTGCTGCTTATATACCGCCCCATAGCGCTTCAAGCACTCTCTGGGCGGTTTACAATTTAATTATGCAGGCTACACACTGCCCCCCCAGTGAGCTGGCTACTCATTTTATCGACCTCGGAAGGATAGAAGGCTGAGTCAACCTTGAGCCTGATACCTGGGATTTGAACCCTAGGTCATTTGCAATGGGAGACCCATGAACCAGCATGCATTGGATCTCAAAAGCATGCGATCCTGAGCTTTTGGATGGTATTTCATTCTCTCTATGCTGGAACTGATAGTAGGATCCCAAATCATAGCAACATGTTTCCTCTGGTTTTCCCTGGCTGACCAGGGCCTTGGGGTTCAGGAAATCCTCTGCCCTACAATTAGCCCAACCATTATGTTTGACACCTGCTTCCTTTGCAAAATTTACAGACCCCCTGGGCCCCTTAGCAGAATTCAGCACAACAAGTTGTTCTCCTACCCTGCTA